AATCAAACGCCACGAGAAACTCATGCGGTGTCGTGCAGCATGTGCTTCGAGCCCCCCGAGACGGGCAAGTCGCGGAAATGAACTGCTGGTGGATGTTTCGACAGCAGTATCCCTTGGAAGTTCCATTTGGCAGATTCAGTAGTAATACTAATCGTGGGTTGTGTGGCTGATGTATATCCGAGTTGCTATCGTTCGCCGAAAGAAGGGGGCGTCGTAGGTGCTGCAATCTGTGCGCCAGCTGCTGTCCGTCCCCCGATATTCCGCTGTCGATGTGGTAGACATGGCGATCCTCCACATCGGAACATCAACAACACGGACGAGAGGTCGCTCGCTGCGCTGCCCACAGCCCTGTTTTATGCCACGACTGGATGCGAGAGAGGCAGGATTTGCTGAACACTCGTCCATGCTCTTGCACCCGACTGGACCATCCCCCTTTGAAAACTTGAACCTATAAGACCGTCGCGCGTGAGCTATATTGGATGAAGAGAGAGAGATCGGCCGACCGCGGCGACAACCAAGTTCGCCACCAACTGGGCACGCAAGTACGCCACACCTGCGTTTCTACCCGCACGGCTGACGACACTGAACGAGTCATCCGTCAAGGGACAACAACGGGACACCGACGACAAGGCGCCTAGTCATCGCGCACGACAAGGCGCCTAGTCATCGCGCACGGTGGCTTTGCCGCGACCGTGATGGAGCATCGCATAAGTGGCATGTCGGGGCCAGACATCGACTGTGAACCCTGAAAAAAATTCAACTCGGAAAACTCTATTAAACTCAACCAGTTCAACTAGAATACTATTATACTGTAAAAGTTCAAACTGGCACGGTGTCGAGAAACCATCTGCAAGGTTCGTACACGGTTCGTACAGGGCGTCCTGACCGTCCATTTCGGTGTACGAGCCATGGAGCGTATTTGAGACATTTATCCACCACGCGCGATACCAATGCTGCTAGATACCCATCGACAATCAACCGGTCCCGCAGCGACGGCACTGCCATTCACATTTGCCGCCTGACAATAGTGAAACTCCCCGCAGCGTCCTCAGCCCTCCAACCTTCACGACAGCAACAATACTACTCTAGACTTGGAATTAAAAATTCAAAACAATGTATTGTTATTGTCGAACAATTAAATCGATCCAAGTAAAGACCCCGACAGCAAGACCTATCTTTTCAAGTGGCTGACGTACTTGAGCGTCAAGTAGATGCACGTCTGCAGGATGACCCACATCCCGATCAGCACGAGCATGTAGTTGTACCGGTTGTCGGGCCTGAAGTCAAACTGTTCTTGAACCCAATCGGCAACCGTCCCGGTGTACCCGGGTTGGCCAACCAACGGCATACACGCGTTGCCGGTCTTCGTGCCATCGCTGTTGGTGACGCAGATGCCCACTTGGCTTACCGCCAACGAACGCAGCGAGTAGCTCGACGGCACAACGTACACGATCCACTTGTACCAGTCCGCCATCATCGGGTACGGCAGCAAGAACCCGCTGAACAAGTTGAAAATGCACGACAGCGCACCGACCGCCACGTTCGCCACCTTGGTGTTCGGGCACAGCGCGCACATCCATTGCCCGAAGAACGTACAGATCGACGTGTACAGGAAGAACGTGACCCAGAAGAACACAAAGTACTCGGGCACCCAACCGATCATCCAGTACTCGACAAAGACAAAGAGCGACACTGCCACCACCAAGTACGGCACCTCCGACGCAAACAGCGACAGACTGTACGGCAGCGGACCATAGTAGTTGGACATGCGCTCGCGGTAAAACACAGCACGCTCCAAGCACGTGATGTCGAGCACCGTCATCAAGTTGATGATCCCGATGAAATCCATCGAGTTGTAGATCAGCCCGATGTGCGACTTGATTTGAGACACGTTGTCGCGCGGCAACTTGTAAAACGTCGTGGCAAACACCAACGCGAACCACGGGAACGACGCCAGACGCACAAAGTTGTACTGGGGACTGCGCCAGTACGTCTGCAAGCACTTGGTCACGCACTCCTTGAGCTGGTTGCCAAAGCTCGTCGCCATCGGCGTCCAGTTCAGCGTCGAAAATGCCACAAACTCCGTCGACGGTTCCGCCAGGCGAAGGGCCTTCTCCACGTTGTACTCGCACAGCTTGCTGTTCTTGTACTCCACCGAGTAGTCCTTCGTGTCGCGGCCGATACCAGCACCAATCACCTCCAGCATGTAC